CAGTCAAAAATTTTTTTAAGAATTTTGCGAAATTTGATCCGGCAGGGTTATGAGAACCAATTTATTAAGTTGTATGGCCTTAGTAAAAATGCACCAGATTTTTTTTCTGAAAAAACTTCTTAAAACTGAGCAAAATAACTCAACAATAACATAATCAAATTTAATAAAAATTTTTAAAACAATTCTATGATTTTTATTAAATTTAAAGGTTCGAAAATCCATTAAAAATTTTGTGTTTAATTTTAAGCTTATAATAATTCAACTTAAATGATTTCAGTTTGTGTGGGTGCTTCTTATCCTAAAGTAATGTGTAAGTATTAACTTATTTTAATTAGCTTACTTTTTAGAATATATTTTGACATATAATGATTTAGGTACTCATAAATCGGGAAATGATTATAATTATCAAATCTGTGATTTGCATGATTGCAAATGCCAATATACCTCAGCTGCGACCCCAAATTGTTATCTTCTTCATCCTTGCCAATGTGGTGGATGTATAACTCATATTACGCCTTCGGTGACATTTTCGGTAAATTTTCCAAAAATACAAAAATATCTGAAATTTATTCAAAATATTGTAAGTTACACAAACTGAGTTAAACTAAATTTAGCCCCCTAGGACAACGACATTCTGAAGCCTCTCCAAGATTACTTAAATATATAGGTGACAACTTCAGCAAATTTTTCATAAACTAGAAAATATAAAATCTGTATTTTGATTAGAAGTAATGTATTTGTTTTCCAGGTGATTTTTTTATCTATGTTTTTAAAAATTTAGTTAGCAAGGTTAAAGGTATTATATATAAAATTATGTAAGAAAATTTTTTAAATATTTGGTAAGACCACGTCTTTATCTTTATTAAAATTTAATTAATTTTTATTACAAAAAAGAAATTATATTTAAGTTTTATATTCTAAAATTCAAGACTAGGTACTTAGACTAATTTATTTGCGGTCTAAACTAACTACAGAGTAACTAAGATAATTTAAATTTGTGGGTTAATAATAATATATATAATATTTGATTCATAAGAGATACTATAATATAAACTTTTAAAGCAGTAATATATATTGATATTTGAGATAAGAAAATAATAGTAAGAAAAAATAAAAAGGTAGAATTATAGTTAGTAATACTTGGAAGTTAAGAAATACAATAAAGTATTCATATATTGGTATAAATTTGTTAGTTAAAAGTAAAGTAAAAATTTTATAGTAAGCAGTATTAAGTTCAAGTTTAGTTTTTTTTTTTATATTAAGGTGCCATTCGGGACCAAGCTTTATTGATGTTTATCGTTGGTCTACATTTTGGTATTACAACGAGGGTACAATCTAGCCACATGTGCAACTTTAGGTTGCCTATTTAAGTAGTCCGCCCGAAGGTTCTATACTAGTTGCCATACCTGCAATCTACTTAGAGATTATCTATTTAAACTCTCTGATCGTACATACCCATCAATTATTTTAAGCAAGGTACCTTTATACTGAAGTTTCCCACTGGTTAGTGGATAGTCTCCACTATCTCTTACTGCCAGTTTCCGACCCTTATAGGGTTCACCTAAATCCTGGTTCCTACTTCACAGCATATCCCTAATACTTTAATACCCATTTACAAGTCTCCCCAAGCTCCCAATTCAGATGACCTGGAAGGACTATGACTTGTCCCTGGTATGTAGTACTGGACTATATCCTTTTCCTCTGGTGACGATAGACCCGGCGGTCTGGTTGGTGTATCGGTTCTCAGCCTTTGTTACTTGGTTCACCTGCCTCACGTGGTCTGTTTCCTAGGTCTAGCCTTTACAGTGGTTCTGTCAAAGATCTAAACTACCTTCCTATTCAGAATTTTAGGTAGGTTTCAGTTCTTCTAGTCACTTGGATTTCCATGCCCGGTGGTCTTATCATGGGTTTGCACCGACTCTGGTACTGGCATGCATTCCTTTGAGTTTTGTGTAACATCACACAAATGCCCAAGCTCCCAGTCTTGCTGGTGCGACCAAAGCTACAGGTGTAGTGTTTCAAGCCATAAAGTTTTTATCGGCTGGCTTAGCCAGCCGGCAAAAAAATCGGCTAAGCGGCTGGCTAATAACTAAAGCCAAATTTTT